TTAGGGTCCAGGTGTTTAGGGTTTTTGGGTTTGGAGCATGTTCAAGAATGTGAATTTGTTGGTTCCGTGTATCCAAGTTAGTCTGGGGCCCGTAGCGCATACCTGTATGTTTGGAAAGGAATTCGGGTCAAGGTTTAGGGCTTAGGGTCTCACCATGAAGACCAACCCTAAACCGCAAACCCTAAANNNNCCCTAAATCCACCCTAAACCCTAAATCCACCCTAAACCCAAAACCCACCCTAGACCCTAAACCCGAACAAAACTTGCCACATAGAGCCAGGTGCATGGTCTCGTTGTAGAGAAGCTTTCGGAGGGTCGTGCCACCTGACCCAAATTCCTAGGACTACCACTGCCCCAGTGCCTTAAGTCCCCCTGAAGTAGAATATGGCTTTGGGTATGTTATAATAAGGTCCCCATATATCCCATATTCTATACCCTATATAACCTATTATAGAAGTTTCGATGTTCTTTTCCATTATCCCTACATAACCCCAATAATATACCCCGTATTCTATCTACTTAAAAGGGACTATATTCCAAGAGCCGCCACCCTAGAATAGCTACTGTACTGTTTAGGGTTTCGGGTTGAGGGTAGACAAGGAAAGGCAAAGAACATGGACACTACCATAGATTTAGGGTTTAGGGTTGGTTATGTAGGGACTACTACCCTAGTTTGGAGTACACCATAGAAAACGGATAGACTCATTAGGTATAAGTTGTTATAATAAGAACCCAGGAACCAAAAAGCATTAACGTGTAGTATTCCAATATTGGGATTATGCGGATCGATCTCCTTTGCAAGGCACGATGCTACAGGTACAGGCCCCGTGATAAGATATGACGTCTCGTCACAACTTTATGCTGCTGAAGTGTGGGACTGTTCATAGCTGGGTAGCTCACCTTTAACCTGTTTCGGCATACCCTAAACCCTAAACCCTAGATTTAAAAGTTCGCCATGCTGGATCCAGGGCACTCTCGAAACCCTAAACAAACCTACCGTTTTTTTGTTCTGGTCTGCTAAGCAGAGGTAAACAAGGTTCTGACTGAGGTGGGGTAAACAAGGTTCTGACTGAGGTGGGGAGTTTAGGGCTTAGGGTTTGGAAGTAGGCAAAGCCGTGTGCTTCTTGACTAAGATCTGTCTCCAAAGCCTTGCGCCAACCTGGATTACTGTTATGGATTTCAAATTAAACAGGGCAATGCTTAATAATTTCAACTCCTAATTTAAGGCCATTGTTGTACTATTCCCTATATAAACCACCATTAGCAGCAAACCACTTCATCCAAGTGTCATGGTTCGGGTTTACGAAGCAATCGTGTTATCTATATCATATGAGGCCTTGTCTAAACTCCTAGTATCCCCCCTTAATATCCCCTATAGTAGTCCCCTATATAATCCCCCTTTAAGGAGTTTTGACCATAGCTCATATACTCAGTATATTAGGACCAACTGCAGGAGGGGAGTTTCCCCCTGCATAGAGGGTGTAGAAGGGGGAATATAGGGACAATGGGGAGTTACATGTTGGGCATATAACTATTGTTTAAGGATTATGTCGGGTCTCTTACTCTACTCACGACCATCGAGAAGACTAGGACCTTGCAACTCAAATCCAAAGCTCATCAAACTTGCTACTCTTACAGCTCCACTACCTGTGTTAGAATTGCAGACCCCTCGTAACCTCAGACATGGCAAGTGCAACCTGCAACCTGAGACAATACCTGAGTCCCAGCACCTCAAGGTAGCTTGGTCCTACAATGCACGAAAAACACCACGAAACGAGTTTTCCCTAGATTATCCAACAGAAGAGTGCATGGCCGTACCAAGCAGCAGCTGACCCTAAACACTGTATCCTTGCACCGTGAAGCCTAAAACACCTCAAACCTCAACCAAACCTCAACCATGCCACCATGCCATGCCACATGTGTGGTGCAAAAGCACGAACACCCCCAAAACCCTAAACCCTAAATAGTCGTTTCCATTTCTTTTCCATCATCCATATATGCCCCCTGTAATCATAGGGTTTAGGGTTGCTGTAAGTTCTCAAACCTGGCACCCTACAGCCTAAACCCTCAACCCTAGACCCTTAACCCGAAACCGCTTTCTCCCCCTTCCCACCTGCGCGGTGCTGATGCATGAACACCAGGGGGCGGTTGGCCGACACTGCCTGGCTCATGCGGTTTAGGGTTTAGGGTCTAGGGTTTAGGGTAGGGTTTACTGGTTACTTTTTGATGTGCTATTGAATTTTTCCTGTTTATTCTACATTGGGCCCAGGTACACTTAAAAATGTAAAATGCTGTTCAACAAGGACCCAGTAAGGTAGGGGTTTAGTGGTTTAGGGATTAGGGCTTCGCGGTACAAACCCTGAACTGCCCTAAACCCTAAAACCTAAGGTCCCCTAAGCCCCAAACTCTGTCTTGGAAACCCTCTGGCTCCTACATGTATATTTTACCCTAAACCTACTACAGATATCCCCTACCTGCAAACCCCGAGAAAAAGCGAACAAACTGCTTGACCACTTGAAAGATGAAGGAACTTCCCCTTGACTGGTTACATGTTTGGTCATGTTTTAAGGTTTAGCAACTAGGGATGCTCGGCAAAACTTAAACCCTAAACCCTAAACCCTAAACACTAAACCCTAAACCCTAAACACTAAACCCTAAACCCTAAGCCGTCAGCAATGGCTTTTCGAGAGGGAGGGAACACTAGCACAGCTTCGGCCCTAGGAACAATAGAACAGCTCCAACCCTAAACCCCACACTGTATCTACACCTGTAACCCTCCTGAAAAGGTTTCCCCAGCCCCCATATGCCATGTGCCACTGTTTTACCCACTGCAGCATCCCAGTTTCCGTTCCGTTTTTCCGTTTTCCCTTTGCTTCTCCACCTGAACGCCATTCATCTTCCAGGGTTCAGGACGCCGAATAAGGATTAACAACTCCAATGTGTTGGGTTGGCTGCCACCCTAAACCCTAAACCCTAAACCCCTAAACCCCCCTGAACCCTGAACCCGGTCCCGAGGAATGCAGGGTGGCCTCGTTCTTCCAGGGGGCTGGCATCTCCAGGAACTTGGTGATCATCTCCTCCACGAAATCCTGATCTTCGCTTTGGGGGAACATGGAACAAGGGCTGTACAGGAATTCTGCAGGGGGTTATAGGGATTTAAGAGAGTTCAGGGCGTAGAGCTTCATGTTTTTAGTTTTTGGGGTTGGGGTTTTGCACGGTTTCAACGTAGTCCTGATCTCTTTCTTTGAGGGTTTGACAGCTTTGAGTTTGGGATGTACGAAGGATTCAAGGTTTGAGGGCTGTAGGCTTTCCAAGGGCTTAGAGTTCAAAAAGTTGTCGCGAGAGTTTGGAGCTTCTTTGACAAGCCACGTGCAGGGGTTCTATGGGATTAGGGTTTGGATGTAGGGTTTACGCATTCCCCTAAACCCTAAACCCTAAACCCTGAAGGTGTTGGACAGGTAGGCGGGGCTTCTGGAGTTCTACATCACCTGGCTCTGTAGTGGGCTACATCACACGCTGCACAATCAAAAGCACCAGTGTGAAATCCCATCTGCCAAATGGTAACCCTCCCTGCCCTTCCCATGGTACAGGTATGCCGCATGCCCCCTCCCCCTTGTGGGCTGTGTCGCTGGTGGTTGTCGAACAGTCATAACAGAAGGATCGCGATTTTGGGAGGCCTCTTCCCTGTGACTGTTGGCACTTTCCAGATGCGACGACCACACAAAGTTCCAAAAATGATGACGTTTGCAAGGATCGCAACGACGGAGGGCCCGTGCCTGTGATTGTTGGCACTCTTCAAACTTTTCAGACGCAACGAAAACGCGAGGACAGTTAGGGCGGGGGACCATACCTTGAAGGGGGGGCGAGGAACCCCAGGACTGGGATCGGGCTTCGGGTTTCCCAAAATTAGGGGTACCTTGTTTAAGGGTCCTTATAAGGATTAAGGTTTATAACTGAAGTATGACAGTAAAAATTTGGGGTCTATGATGGATCCCCCTTATTAGGGAAAGTACCATATCAGGCCCTACACCTGCAAAAGCCCGAAGCACCTAGTTGCGCAAAACAGGAGTCTCAAAGTGATCTCCATAAAATCCCAATAGCAACCCTTCATCCCCAATAACTTAATAAATGACTCTATGGTCCCTGAATGCGCCCGTGTTTGAGAAACCCAAAATTGCCCAAGCCTGGACGAAGCTTTGTAGCAAGGATCCACCTGTGTTAGGGTCTATACAGGGGACTCTCTAGTTACGGAAGTACCCTCAACCTAGACCCCGCCTGAACATCAAGCGACACCAAACACCAAACTGTGTACCTTAACGTTAAGAGCCTAGTTGTTGGAAGAACCCCCCTCACATATGCCCCATCTTAGTACTGCCATAGCCACTATAACTCCCTATAATAATCCTTGGGTATAACCCTATACACCACTATATAGCCCGCCTTATACAAATCTACATACAGCCATAAACCTAACCCCAATCCAGTGGATGGAGCCTTGGTGGAGTTCTTTCCCATCTTGCCACCCATCTTGCCGCCCATCTTGCCGCCCATCTTGCCACCCGTCTTGCCGCCCTTGGCAACGAAGCCATGCTTTCCCGCCTGGGCACCAAGCCACGTTAGGGTTTTGGGTTTGCAGATCGGGGTTCGGGTTGAGGATGGAATGTCATATAAGGCACCAACATTTTTATAGGTGCGCAATTCGTGGTGTGGGTGTTCGATTTCTGGAACCTATCTGCTTCAGGACATACTGATACATGGGCTTGCCAACCTCCAAAGCAGAATTCCATGATTCATCTCTGGCTCCATTTGAAGAGTCACGGGAGTAACTTCTTATAACTGGCTTTGTAATCGCCCTAAATGGACTTAGCCAGGATACATAGCCCGATGACAAGCGTTTACACCACAGTAATAAGTAGTTGCCAGATTCATGAACCTTCAAAGAGGCCCTGTGCTTTGCCTTCGCTCCAACCTATACCCCATTGTATGGCCCCCGAACTTTACACCAACCCAGTAAAGTCGGTAAACAACTTCATCCCCCAATACAATGTTGCCATTGTGGTTTGCTATGATACATTGGGAATGTTTATGTTAAGGGTGAAGTTTTAATATTAAAGAGATGTGAATACCTCAAGCCCTACTGAGTCCAATGCCAATATATCAAGAGCGCTCCATACGTGGCCTCTGACAAACCTATTGCAAGAGCTACAGTTCAAGACACGGATTAGGAATATGCGCGTCACAAATCTGATGGGGCCTGTGGGACATTACCCTAAACCCTAAACCATGACCCTAAACCCTGAAGCCTAGACCGCATCATGTATCCGTGTCATCTCACTCCCATCCCTCAACTCTATATCCGGACAAGCGCTGGACGGTTCAGGCCCCAAACTCTCTTCCATCAAACACCTTAAGTTTGTACCCTTAATGTTTGACCCTAGGCTGTAGGTCCCAAAAAGCCTCATTAAGGGCCATATTCCATGGTTTAGGGACCCCAACCCAATGGTACAAACCCTAAGGGTACAAAGGAAAATTCCTTGACTCCAAATGCCCAACTCCCATCAGCATCCCATGTTGCTACTACCAAAGTGCCTTTCCAATCCTCCTCTCGGTGCTGAACCCGGAGTGCTGGGACAGTCCAATTCAAGAACTTGCATAGCATGTTCATCTTAAGTAGAAACCCTAAACCCTAAACCCTAAAACCCTAGTTCCCAAACTCGATCTGTGAAGCTCTGATGCTAAAGTCAATTCCCCACCCCTGAATGCTTATATCACAAACCCCAAACTCTAAACCCCGAAACTCTAAAGCCCGAATCCAAGCACCCTGTCCCCTCCCAGTATGCACCCCCGAAACAAGTAAGCAATAAGCCCTACTAACCCCTATTAAACATTAATGCCCTAATAGACCCCAATAACGCCTAATAAGGTCCATTAAATCTTGTGACGCTAAACCCTAAACCGCGTACTGTCTTCGCCACAGTGACACCGGCCTGACCGGTCTTGCCGGCACCCTTTTTGTTTGCCATCTTGCCTTGAACACTTCCGAGTTACTATTAGGGTTCTTTTTTTTTGTCGGCCCTTTCCTTTAGGGTTCAGGGTTTGGACTAGGCTTAAGGAAAAAAGTTTTCTCAATATGGCCCCAACATAGTCCTGATATGAACAAATGTAGTCCCCTAGGGTTTGTAAAAGGATCTCGAAACCAATGGGTACAACCCCTGGGGTTCAACCCGGAAACCCTTGACTACATGGTTGAGGGAGCAACCAAGCCCATCATATTTTGAAGGGATTGTATAGGGCATATAAGGATTGTGGCAAAAAGGGATTCGACAGAGATATGTAGGGCCTTGGAGGGCCAAACAAAAACCACAATAAACATGGACATTGGAATTGTATAGTGGTTGAAATGTAAGGCCTGAAAAGGCAGAATTATTTCTAGGAGTTTGCGGGAAGTGTAGTGGTAATCAGCAGTATCAACTGATTCCTTCCTGGGATGTCACCTAAACTAAAAACACAGTCTTCCTGATAGGGTTTGAGAACATTCAAACAATGCAAGGTACTAGCCGTGCTTGGCCTTGAGGCCAAAAGCCAACCCAGTACTATGACTAGTCGTTGTTTATCCATATTGGGTTCAGGTCACGGTGGGGCCCCCAGTTACATAAGTCTACTTCGACCTGCAATAACTACATCTTGTGGCTTAGAACCATGCGTATCCTCATTTCAACTACTGATTGGGGTGTAGGGGAGTTTAGGGTTGAGATGAACCCTCCCTGTAGACCCTAAACCCGATACCTTCCCCACGACTCCTGAAGGGGCCCCTCCTTCCACCATGAACACGGACTTAGTACAGAATGTAGGAATATAGTATATATGGATCATATAGGGATTGTATTCCCCTGTTCCCTACTAAGAACGGCCCAGTCT